GGGGGAGGCCTTATATTTAGCAATTCAGCAAAACCTCTGCTAGGTCTTATTTTCGGGGAAACATGGTATGTATGCGAACAAGCGTTTTCGCTTATGAATTTAAACAAGTGCAAAACACGGAACAGGTTAACCAACGAGAATTTGGAAAATCTGCTGGTTGTTTCAACATCTGCCATTACGCTAGACATCAAGAAGATTGCCGCCAGCATCCAATCTCAGCCATCACATTAATCACTTGGAGGTCCGGCCCCCAGTCAGTAAACTTAATCCTAATTTGGCCCTTCTTCAGAAAAGGTTGTGCATCCCTGCTTTATACTATAGCTTACTTTAAGTTTACATAAACTTCTTAATTTATATACTAAATAAATATTTTCTACAACTATTATTTGAATGAATAATACATGTATATATATTTAAGTGATGAATCATTAACTCATTAAATAACTAGTTATTTAAAAATTAAAAAAAAAAAACTTTTTTCCAATTTATATAAAATAATTATATTATAAGTACATTTTAACTTTAACTTTTCAATAATTTAATAATTGCATAAGTATGTACAGTACATGTGTATTTATATATATAAATGAAGTAAATAAAATTTCATCCTACAATGAGTATTTGATATAAGAATGATGTTACCATATAAAAAATTATTTATAATTGTAATGTGAACATAAATCATTTTGTATATAACGATTTATTTGCATTTCTGATTTGGATTTTGAAATCTAAAAATGTTACAAAAAATTTGAAGGTATTTTGTTATAAAACATTTGGCATTTAAATTCTTTATTTTTGTTTATTGTAGAATGATAATGATAACTTTAAAATGTTAAGTTGTGAAATAGTGAAACACTTCTTCTGCATTTCAATAATTAACACAAGACTTGTACAAGACAAAAAATAAGTAGTTTTACAAGTCTTGCATTGATTACTGTAGTGTGAGACAAACGTTCTGATATTCTACAACATAAAATTAAGTAAGGAAACGTAATGTGCTTCTAGAAGAAAAAAGACATTATAAAATTTCAAAAGTAGAAAGTAATTAGAATTTTAAAAAGATACATTCATTTAGAAATGTTTTTAAACTTATTTGTTTTCAATTGCAAATGAGAAATTCTGTGTAAAAAATATAAATTATTACTACTACAGATAAGTTATTAAAACATTTCAAAATAACAATGGCTTGCATATTCTGATGTGTACCATCTTTATTTTGAAAGCCTTAGATTATCTGAAAGAGATGGTAGTCATGGTAGCCTATTATGTGTGTGTAAATTTTGCTAAATGAATTTATAGAGCAATTTCAAAATTCTTCTATAATAAAAATGATATAATATTTGTACTTCTAACAAATTTAACCATGCCTAAAGGGTCTTTTGGAATAGAATTACAAATTTTTTAAAAAATGTTTGATATAATCAAGATTATGAAACTCCTAGAAACAAGGTTAATGTAATTATTTTTGATGTAATGTGTATTTTTATGGAATAATTTTTATGATTTTTCATTTTTAAATGATCAATGACCAAATGATTTCAGTTGCTCTAAAATTATCCTATCTCTATTAAAATCAAAAACTTTTCCTGCAACATTATGTTGCAGGAAAAGTTAATGAAAAAATCTCCAAATTAAATCAGTTATTATTTTGGAGAAATGCAACATTGTATAACTCATGTAGTAATTGTTTATAATAATACCCTTTTATTGAGACAACTGAGTTTTAAAAAAATTTTTTAGTTTTTTCCAACTTTTGATGTATTTCTTATATTCCATCTAAATCTTTTAATGTATTTGTCAAATATTAGCTTATTATTTTTATAAGATACTAGTTTTTGTGTTTAATTGGCCTCAATTTTCCACTAGCATCTGTTTTCCCTTAATCTTGAGAACAGAGACAGATAAAAGTTGAGACCAGATATGGAAAGCTTAGGGAACAGAAGGCCCCAAGTAACTATATACAAACTTCTGGTTTGTACTGAGTCACATTATTTCAATTCAACAGTTTTCTCTAAAATGGAATTGGATAGATGACTGGCATGTCTGTTGTTATCAGGAAAATTATGCTATACCAAGGGCAAGACACTACTAAAATCAAGAGCATAAATTAAATAAATTAAAAATATGATTAAAAATTGCAGCTCAGCATTGTGACAATGTCACAATAATTTTATCAATTTTTGTATTATAATGAAGTTGAAAACAAATTATATAATGTTCAAATCAAACATAAATTAATTTTAAAATAATTTTTTTTTTATAAATTTCAGTTCAGTATATCTGAAACAAAAGTTCGTAATGAATTATGTTTAATTCAATGAAGTTTTCCATTTGAAATCAGTAATTCTCAATTTCTTATATATTTTTAATTTAATTAATTCTTTTTAATAAAAATAAATAAAATTGGCTAAAAACCTAATTTTGTTTTAAAAGCTAATTTTAAACAAATTATGAATGTTGCATATTTTCATTCCTAGTGTCCATACATTTCTAAACTTTTATAAATTATAAATTTTCTGGATTACTGGTTTCAGATATTTTATTATGAAATAATAATTATTTGATCTATAGATGAATATATTATAAGTTACTAATTGATAGAATAATTAATTATAAAAATTTTATATTTCAGTTTATAGTGAAAATGAGCCAGATTTGAACAATGAGCTTGAAATATCAGTAAGAGTTTATATTTTTAATTATTAGGAATATTTCAAAAGTTAAAATGAGAATAGATAAAAATTGTAATTAAGATTTGCATTTTCTTTATAATTTACTATCATTCATTTGTGAAGAACTTACTTTTTAATCTGTAGAATAGTATAACTCACTAATAATTCTGCTAAATTCAGTTTATAGATACAAATTTTTTTTTCAGTTTAAATATATATATATGTGGGTGAGATGATTTTTTTAAAGTTTTCATACTTTTGCACACATTGAAGTTAGTGTTAGTGTGATTGATATAACATTTCAAGAAGTTACTGTTAAGTTTTTCATTATAATCTTGCTCTTTATGAATTACAGTAGAGCATAGATTATCCAACTCAATTGGGGACTCAGGTTGGTCAGATAACTGAAAAGAAGGAAAAAATACATTATTAGTATAGTATATTAGGATATTAGTATATCCCATGTAATTAGTTTATTAGTATATTGCTATTAACCAACTTTGCGTTGAATTTTCATTGATGTTTAGCCTAACAAATTTTTTTCTAAAATAATAATCGTCGCTATTGTATTCTTAAAAATTATTTTTAAACTATTTTATTGCTCATGAAACAAACAACCACTCATAATTATAAAATTAAGTCTATGATGTGCTGAATTTCTTCCAGAACTTTCTAACTTAAAATTAAAAATTTATTACATTTGAATACATGCAAATGGACAAAAATATTAGTTGCAAATAAGGAAAAAAGAGCTAGTAAAACAGTTTATAAATAAATAAACAAAAGTCAAATAATTTTTTTATAACTAAATTTACATATTAACTATTTTCTGCTTTTGTGCCATTATTTTAGCTAATAAAAATATAATTAAAGTATATAAAATAGTATTGTTTTCTAATTAATATATTTATTTTTGTCAGACTGCAGAGACTGTTGAAGCTATTGTTCAACAGTTAATGGAGAAGCAGCGAGCTAAAGCTGCTGTAAGGACTCATGAATGTGCCTGTGATAGCACCACAAAGTCAGTGGGAAATACCTCTGAAAATAAAAAATGTAGTCATACATTGCATCGTATAATCTCACCAAAATCACAATCACGCAAAATGAGTTCATCTAACTCAACAGTATCAACTACTACTAATCATGTTTCATCATCCACAACTTTGGTAGCTGTTAGTCAAGCTGGAATTCAGAAAGTGGAAGAAACTGCCAATAAACGCACAGTGGGCACTACAAGAAGTGCAACAACTGTTACTGCCACTAGAACAGGTAGTGTAATTTTAGCTGCACCCTGTCAACCTGTATTGAAAAGTAACAGGCAAAAAGACTTATCTCAGACATCTACAACAGCTACCACATCTTTAATTCTCAATTTATCTCATTTACAAGAAGGAAGTGGACTTTTAATTTTAAATAGTGCTACTGCTGCAACAGAAGTAGGTTTAGCTTCAGCATCTGTTACTCCCGTTACCTTCTTATGTGGTCAAGAAACTGTAACTACCTCTCATACTCAACCAACGACTTCAGTGTTGACAAGTTCTCTCGCAAATAATAATAGCGACATGAGTCACGTTGAAGATACTATTGATTGTGATAATCAGAATGAAAAGACTGTGTTTTGTACTAGTCCGAATGGGAAAGATCCTAATTTTGGTAGCATTGCTGATGAATTGCCAAATAAGAAAAAAGATAATCTGAGCTTTTTTGAAGATGCCTTGACAATGCCTCAAGATTTACAGAAGACACCACTTTCTGCCAATATGCTTCCTCCTAAATGTCTTTTATCATCTCAGATCTCAGTGAAAACAGAACCAAATCATTCCAATATTGATCCAGTGGATCTTAGTCCAATGGACTTTATTGACAATGACATTTCAACACCAGACGAAGAAGTTTTTAGTTTAGATACATTTGATATGCTCTCTGATCTCCCTAATTTGGATGAAATTAATCCTGATCTTGCTCCAAGCAGTGGTTTTTCCATGAGTAGTCCTTCAGCACTAAGCATTTCATCTGGTTTAGGTTCGACGGTGAAGTCTAATAGCCCACAGTCTATTATTCACTATCGTGATGGAACTGCAAATATAACAGATTATTCACCTGATTGGTCTTATACTGAGGTATGTATATTTAGATTAAAATTTTAATTTTCTTGTTTTAGAATAGAAGCATATTCATGCATCATAAAACCTTTGTAAATGTATGTATGTATATATATTTGTAAATGTACATATATATATATATATATACACATTTACAAAGGTTATATATATATATATATCTTTAATGACTTCATTAAAATTTAGCATAGTAACATTTGATTTTATTATTAGTATCTTTAGTGCAATTAAAAACAGAGTTGCCATCACAGAATGTAATTTGAGATTAATTCTTATTAATTCCAATTTTTTTAATATAATTTTGCATAATCTGGTTGATGTCTCTAAGTATCAGCTTATAACAGTTCATTAAATAATTTTAATGAACTGCCCCTTGTTCGGCTGCAATTTAAAAAAAATTGTAGACCTATAAATTTCTACTGTCATCCATCTGTGTGTCTGTCCTTCCTTAATCTCAAGAATGGAGTTAAATAGATGGTAGAGACCCCATATACAAAGTTTAGGGAAAGGAGACCCAGATTAACTATATATTATTTCAATTCAAAAATTTTTTCCTGAACAGAATTAGATAATGACTGCCATGACTGTTGCTAACAGGAAAAGTATGATGTACAAGGTCAAGACACTACTGAGCAATTATTTGGCTTCAATTTGAATGGATATACATTATCTTATTGAGGTATTCAAGCTGTAATGGATGTCAAGATTTTTCAATGCATATTGTTGCATATACAGTAGCGCATCAATTATCCAAATCAATTGGGGACTGGAGTTGTTCAGAAAATCAATTTTTCAGATAACCAATTATGTATGAAAAAATATATTAACCAATCCGATGTTGAAATTTGTTCAAATCCTGGCGTGTCCTTAAGTACTCTCTCATGGTCGTGAGTGCTGCCAGCTAAAACATGAACACCAACAAAAATAATATTGGAGTAGCCCAAGACATAGCCAAAGATTGCAGCGCCACAGCACTAGTGGAAATTTAAATTTGCTGACTGGAACGCTTTTGGTTAACCAATGTTTCAGTTGATTGATATTCAGATAATTGCTGATTTATTGTAATAGAAGAGAATGTAGGTGGCCACATGATTTCAAAATTTAATATCTGTTTTATACAAAATGTTGAATGATACAAAAACATTAATATATAAAATTATAGAAACATAACAAAATGATTGCCTAAATAATCACTTAAATAATCATGCTTAACTCCACTAATTTAACAATTAATACTAAATAATTTGCTATTAGAGGTATCATCTTTTAACTGAATTAATAATTATAGTTTTAATAATTTATTAAATAATTTAGAATCATCTGGAAGAAAAGAAATGACTCAGAGCGGGGCTTGAACCCACAACCTTCGCTTGCCATGTGGTGTGTTTGCCAGTTGTGTTGTCATGAGCAAGCCTTCACTTCCATATATATTTAAAATTTAGATATAACCTTACATAGTTAATCATGGTGCCAACTGGAGGACGGCTACTATACCCAAAACTCCACAATGGCACTCAGCCAGCTAACATTTTACCTGGCGAGTTATATATATATCAAACATCACAAAACCCAATATGTATATAGAAACATAACCAAACAATTGCCTAAATAATTGGTCTATAATTTCACTAAGGGTGCCTAATGTCTACCTCTAGTAGCAAATTACTTAGTACTAATCATTAAATTAGCAGAGTTATAGCTTGATTATTTAGGCGATCGTTTGGTTATGTTTCTGTATACATATCTAGTTTTGCGATGTTTGATATACTTATATATGAAGTTGAGAAAACATCATAGTTGTGGAATACTGCACATGAAGATTACAAGAACAAAAAAAAATCTCAGCCTCAGTGTGGATCATTATATGTGCAGGATAGTTTAACAAAGGAATTTTTAGATATTCTGAAGTAGTAAAAACCTCTGTCTTCTCTAAGACGAGTAAATAAAGTATGAAAATGGCCACACAGATGTTCATTGTTTATTTGGTGAACCCAACAACTTTGTTTGTGTTTAGTTTTTAAATATTTTTATAGTAAACGAGAAAATACAGTTTCACTAGCATCCACCTTGTTTGCGATTTTCTTTCAGATCGTGCTTAAAAACGTGATATTTGTAAGCAATGTTGGCAAAAGTAATTTTCTGCAGTATGTCTGTTGTAATGGATGTACTTTGTGCTTGTCTCTCCACCCTAATACTTTTATTTTGCTTGATCATCTAGTATAAGAAAATCTTATGAGACCTGGTGCAAGAAGTTTGGCAACACTGTAAGTGCAGCAATGCAATAAGCATGGTTGGCTAATAGCATCACTAAGTCTGATTTTACAGTAGCACCATACTTTTGATAAATTTTATTTTTATCTGATATGAGACATTCAAAACAACAGTGATATACATCCAAATTTGGTGGAAATTGAGTTAATAAAGCTAGAATACATGACCACAAATATGATGTGGCCAAGAGGAATGTCAACACAGTTCTTGCCCACTTTGCTGCCATATCTAAGGTTTCTCACTGCTGGGATGAAGCTACACTTTTACACAGGGTCTTTGAGTAATATGACTTATGATCCTTGGAGGCTTTAGAAATCTATGTGGCTGAGAAGAAAAGATGTTTTGTTAACTTTGATGTCATTACGGTACCATACACAAGCATGAAAATATTTTATAGATGTGCACAGAATTGAATTTATTTATTATCATGCCATATAGAAAATTGGAATGTTGAAAGCCTTTCATTTAAACACACACAAGGAGAGTTACTGCCTTTCATTTAATTTTATGCTTTAAACTATACGGCATGACATGTATCAAATATCTTTTTGAAAGTTTGGAATTTTTTTTAAATCTAGTTGTATTCTCTGTCAAATGATAAACCAAAAAAAAAAGAGTTCTATTTCCTGAGGAGGGCCTCTAAATTGTGGCCAAAAACTTTAGAGCTTTACAGTAATTTGCTGGAAATTGCATATAAGTGTTAGTTTCACTGTTGTACAGTTTGTTTTTATGTTTTCTGTTATTTATCAATTTATATACATAATAAATGAAGATATAATATTTCTGAAAAAACAAAAGAAATTTTATGCAACTTTTTCAGCTTTCACAAACTAGGCAGGTATGTTATGCCATCAAAATTTCCTAATTAGTGTGACAAAACTAATTGCTTTGATTAGATATAAGTTTGAAATTGGTGTAATCTAAAGAGAAATTTATATAATTTATTGGCTTAATAATGTATCCACCTTGCATGTGAGAATTAATTTGAGCACTACAGTCGACCCCCCCATAATACTGTTGATTATTTCATTTTATATGAATTCCATGTTGTACAAGTCACTTAGATTTTACAAATACATCACAGTCAGGCACACATATTTGTAAAATCTAAGTGACTAGTACAACATGGAATTCATATAAAACGGAATTATCAACAATGTTATAGGGGGGTCAACTGTACTTGTTCTTTTCCACACAATTCTAAATTAATCAGTTAAGATGATAAGTTTAATCATTAAATGCATTTATTAACAGATTTCAGTACGGTCTGAATACAGTGATAGATCATTTCAATAAATGAAAAATTATAGCTTATTTTATATATATATATTGTTGGCTTAATTCTAAAACAAAATTTTAAAAAAATTATAATTCAGTAATTATTATGATTATATTTAGTTTTATCCTAAAATCAAATAAATGTTGGTGATTTTCAAATATTATTTAATATATCATTAATACTTGTTTTCATCATGGCAGTGAGACACATCACTGAAGTAAAATTTTATACTTTTAATTATTATTATTATTCAGTAATTAAACTTCTGATGTACTTCTTTCTTCTTCTTTATCTTTGCCTTTTTCCATATTTATAAGGGATTAGTGTTTCCTTTTCTAATATGTTTTTTTCCATTTCTCCCTATCAAAGGCTTCTTTTCTCTTAAGTCCCCTCGGATTCAAGTCTTCTTCCACCTTATCCTTCCAATGCATCTTTGGTCTTCCTCTTTTCTTCTTTCCTTTTACTACTAGTTTTCCAATTTTCTTTCCAACATAATTGTCACTTCTTCACTCTGTGACCAAACCATCTCAACCTACATTCTTGCATCTTTTTGCTCAAGGGGCTCATGTTAACAGAACCTCTAATAAAATCATTCCTTATTCTATCCTTCCTTGACACTCCACACATCCATCTCAATATTCTCATCTCTCCCACCTCCAACTTTCTTTCTTGGGCTCTTGTTATTGCCCATGTCTCATTTCCATGTAACATTGCAGATCTAACAACTGATTTATACAATTTTCCTTTCGGATTGCAGCTAACTTTCTTGTCATATAACACACCACTCAGCTTCCTCCAATCATCCATCCCCATTGAATTCTATACTGCACCTCCAAGTTTAATCCTCCTCCCATCTCGACAAATGTCCCAAGATATTTAAAACCGGAACAAAAGGGAACTGCCCATTTTGGATTTTAATATTGCGTTCATCTTTACCATTTAGAGTCATATAAACTGTTTTAGTTCTACTAATCTTCCAAAACTTTCCTCCAATCTTCCAGTTTCTTTTTAGCCTTGGTTTGAGAAAGTTCACACAGCACAATATCATCTGCAAACAGCATACTCTACGGAACCTCACACTTCATGTCACACACCAACACGTCCATTATCAGGTCAAACAAATAAGGGCTAAGGGCCGATCCCTGATGCAAACCAACATTAACGAAGAACCCTTCTGTAGTGCCCACACTACTCTTAACTTGGGTCTCTGCTCCCTCGTATATTTCATGATGAGACTAATATATTTTTCTGAAACATTCTTTTCCCTCAAACCATCTCCATATCTCTTGCCTTGGTACCCTATCATATGCCTTTTCTAGATCTATGAACACCATGTGCAAATCTTCCTGCATTTCCCTGTGCCTTTCCATCAGCTGTTTTATAACAAATATAGCATCAGTCATACTCCTTTCTGAGAAAACGTCAAACTGTTCCTTTCCAATCTCAGATTCCTGCCTAATCCTTTTTTCTACAATTTTCTCCCAAATCTTCATATTATGGGACAGTATCTTTATACCTCTAATTTCTCCAATTCTGTACATCCCCTTTACCTTTAAAGATTGGCACAAGAATACTCTACTAAACATATGTAGCTAGAACTATTTCTAAGATTATTAGCACAAAACCTTTCTCACTAATTTCTAGCCTTATTAACAGGAGTACAAACGTTTTCGGCCTTCTTAATAGGCCTTCCTCGTGTACCCGAGGAAGGCCTATTAAGAAGGCCGAAAACATTTGTACTCCTGTTAATAAGGCTAGAAATTAGTGAGAAAGGTTTTGTGCTGATAATACAAGAATACTCTTCCTCCATTCATCTGGGATCTTCTCTTGCTGCCAGAGTTTCAATATGTATAATAAATAATTATGTACAATATATCAAATTCATGGAAATGGCTTGCTTCTTACAAAGAAATATTTAAAATTTTTATCTTTCATTTTAAGTTATTGTAATTATTATTATGAAGATATATCATAGTTACAAAACATAGACTACTTTTCATATGCAGTATCTTTTAATGTACACAGTTATAAAAATTGAAATGTCAACCAAACTCATTGTATGTGAAATATAGACTTTATAACATGACTTTCTGATTTGTTTTTATATTTTATGTTTAACTTTTATTTTATGCTTATTTTTAAGTAAAAAAAGTNTAAAATATAAAAAAAACGCCGGACTATTGTGTAAATTTATTATATAAAAAATAAAAAATACAAAAAACATAATTTATACGACCAATTAAAATTATTATAGTTGAAGATTACGAATTAAAATGTGAAAATGTTCTCTGCATTCTAAAATATGAATGCTAAATAATTGAAAATTAGACAGGGGGAGAAAAATGTGAACAGAATCAGAATTTGATTAACAAACTGATTTTTATTTGAATATTAACTGCTCTTTTTTTTACAATTGCAGATTTCCTTTTACTTCATTCAATGTACTGCACTTTATATAATTCTGAAATGAATGGACTATGAACTGTGTACAGTACATCTGTATTTATTTTCTTAATTCTATAAAATTTATTTTTATTTTCAGGGAGGAGTGAAAGTCTTGGTCACAGGACCTTGGTATTCGACTTCATCTCCCTATTCAGTATTATTTGATAGAATTAGTGTTCCGACCACTCTAGTGCAGAGTGGTGTATTAAGGTGTTACTGCCCAAGTAAGTTTATTTTTAATATATTCTCTGTTAATCTTACAAGTAAATAAAAACTATTTTATCCAATAAATTTATTTATTTTAAAGGTCACGAAGCTGGATTAGTTTCGTTACAAGTTGCCTGTGATGGCTTTGTTATTTCCAATTCTGTAACATTTGAATACAGGCATCAACCTTCTTCTATTTCCCAGAAAACAGACAATTGGTTTGATGTTGAAGGTAATTTGAGTTTTCTGTTTATCATTAAGTTAATTCTATTAAGTTTTTCAATAATTTTTTTTTAATATTAGAAACTACTTTGAAATTCTCATTGCTGGAAAGATTAGAACTAATGGGAGGAAAAATTAATTTTAACAATCAGGATAAAAATGAAGTTTCTTCATTATTTTCACAGGTATGACATTTTTAAGTTTTTCACTTATATTAATTATTATTATTTATTTATTTCTATTAGATGAATCACAACAAACAGATCACATGTTCGTGTTGACTAATATTTGCATCAGGTTCTTCCCAAGTACCTAGGATATTGTAATGTAACTGTGTATAATGTTCACAGACCAAAGCAGTGCAGCTTTTTGAAGTTGACAGATGTTGAAGCAAATTAACATTGACAAAATTAAGTGCTGCCCCAGGATTTTGGAAACTGCCCCAGTGTGCCAGTAATCACTGGTACTATATTAATCACTATATACATCAGGTTTTTTCATTGCTGAGAAGAGTTTATTCTATTTATTCATCATATCACTTACAGAATTCATGTAATCAGCCTCCTAATTTACTTGTATATGAGTAGGAAACTGTTTTAGTATGACACTTATGAAAACATGTATATTACTTGAACAGAACTCACTGAACTTAGTAAAAATGTATAAAATGTTCATTAAATGAGAAAATAAAAAGATAGAATCAAAACACTTTTTTGTTAGGTTAGGGAAATTTATTTGAAATATTGTTAAAGTATTAGACACTTATTTTTTTAAAAACATGTTATTAAAATAATTTTATTGTGTTTTGAATAGGTTATGTTTGGAAAAGAGAATTCGTTTGAAGATCGATTAGTAACATTGTGCCAACATTTAATGAGTGCCACATGGGTTCAGCGTTACGATGCAAGCCCTCTGACGTATTCTTCTTGTCCTGGATTAACGTTACTTCATTTAGCTGCAGCACTTGGTTATAGTCGTCTAGTGTGTTCCTTGTTACATTGGCGAGCTGAAAATCCATCTCTCATTCTCGAAGCAGAAGTCGATGCATTAAGTAGAGACAAACATGATTGCACTCCACTGGTAAGGTTTTCATTAATTTAATTTTTTTTACAGTTTATTAATATATTTTCAAGAGTTTTATATTCTGTCATTGAAATATCATATTTTCCTGATTTATCCTGGAGGGGAGTTTATTTCTAAAACATATATACACCTGGGATTTGAACTCTTGGAATTTTTTTCAAGGCTGGGGTTTATCTTGCAACAGGAGATGAATGAGTAAAAATTGAAAGAAATATCTTAATGTACATTTTTGAAACTACCTAAACTATTTATTGATTGTATTTATGGGTTACAGGTACAATATTTGAAATAATTATTGTTTTCATAGTTAACCAGATTCAGTTTCTTCCAATTTGGTTGTTATATTGTCATTTGTGTCTATCTTGATGTCACTGTTGTAATCAGGATCTTGACTACCATCTTCAATTTGAGTTTCCTAATTACCCATTGCTGATAAGGTCGTCATTTATGGACTCATTTGCGACTTTCCCATGCTCAATATTTGACAGTATTTATAATTTTTTTTCCAAAAATGTTCCAGTGAACCTTAGAATAGAAAATGCCATTTGACTCTAGACAATTTGAAGAGTTATCTCCTCAATTTTAAATTTCATATACAGTAGAGCGTCGTTTATCCGAATCAATTGGGGACTGGGGTGGTTCGGATAACTTATTTTTCGGATAACGAATCATGTACGAAAAAATATATTAATTTATCCCATGTTGAAATTTTTCTCCGTTGCGTGTCGCTTCGCGTTGAATTTTCGTCGATGTTAAGCCTAACGAAGACTATTGTATCGTTAAAAATTATTTTTTTATTTTGTACAAACAAAATAAATTTATTGAAAAATATAAAAACAATAAAAAATTATACTTCAGATGTTAATTTAGTATCAAAAACGTAAAATATTTGAGTAGCCCGAGAAATAGCCGAAGATTGCAGCGCCACAGCACTAGCGAAAATTTAAATTTGCTGACTGGAATGCTTTCGGATAACAGACGTTTCGGATAACCAGCTTTCGGATAAACGACGCTCTACTGTATGTCACTCTAAACTACATTACCTTATACTTTGCATTACTTCAACATGTTTCTCATGCTGGGGTTTATTTTTAACAGCAACTTTGTTCTTTGAGGTTAATTTAGAAATATGATACTTTAATTTACAGATATGCTATTTTTATTGACAACTTATTAGATTTATTTACTGAATTTCTGATTACAAGTAAAAAATTTTTACCAGAAATTTGACTGTTAAATTACAAGTAACTTGACACTAAACTTCAGTTTCCTTTACAATCAATCCCTTTTGTGAGAGAACAAAAATACTTATTTGCCACCATAGCCAGTTGACCAAATACTGTGAAGTCAACATTGATTACAGCATCATAGGTGAAGAAATTGAAATTATTTCCAATGTGCAGACGACCAGAATGCAAATAAGGATAATTTGCATATTATTGCATATTGGATACTTAAAGCAGATAAAAAAACAACCTCATTAGTAAATTTTATTGATATTGTCATCATTTCATCTGTTTTTGCTACATCTCAAATTTGAATGTTCTTAGTACATAGACATGCATGCCAGTATTAGTTTTAATGAGTATTGCTGTTTAGAGAAAGTGCCTATAAATACAGTCTATTGTTGAATAATTATTTGTAATGCAAATAATCAAAAAATGGTAATCTGTAATTCTTTATTAATAAATTTGAGTTGATAATTAAGAGTTATAAATTACATTATTTGCTTAGTAATTTCATTTTAATTAACAAGATTAAGTTCTTTTTTCATTTATCTTCAGATGATAAATATCTCAAAAAAGTTTAATCAAAAATAAATTTTTAGACACTAAAACATTTTAATTTATTTATAAACAAGATTATTTAAAATATATCTATGAATACAAATCATATTCTAGAATAGTTTTATTTTAAGGATTGATCAGTTCTGAATGTGAACTTTTTCAAATTATAAATAATCAATAAAACTACATCATACTACAAAGGTAATTGGTTAAATTACTTAAAACTGTTTGAAAATAGCTACTTCAGAAAATTATTTGACTGACTGACATTGTTAATAAATAAAGTATAAACCCTAGGACTATAGGTTCATTCAAAGAAAGAAATCAAGATTAAGATAGAAAAAATGTTTTTGGTACAGAATGATTTATATCACATTGTTTGATGTATGTATTGAATTTTATAATTGTCTAAACTTAGCTGTACCTTAAATTGTTAATTTTATTATAAAAAAAAAACTTTGCTTTTTGTTAATTATTTTTATTTAGTAAATAAGTATTTATTTCACAAAGTTACAATAATTATATACTAAACATATACAAAATACATTAATAATGATCTTGATATTTGATTATTATTATTATTATTAAACTTAAGAACCAATGATGTTTAAATCATTGAAAAATTAAAACTTTACTATTCAATTTAATTCTTAAATACAATATTCATGAAATGGTCATAAAACAAGATTTATACAAAGTTATGACTTAAATTAACTATTGTGCTAATTAATTACTTTTAAATTTAAGGCTTTTCATATTCTTAATAATTGGATTTGGATAAAAGCAAATCTAAATTTATATCTAGGTTTTATTTATATAATTACATGAAATAAGTTTGAATGTTTGTTACAATTTAAACTGAATAAAATTGGCATGATGATAAAAATATATATATATAAATAATGCATACTTTTTAGATGTGGGCTTGTGAACGGGGCCACAAAGAAGTAGCTTTGTTGCTTTACCAGTGGAACAGAACAGCTGTTAAAGTGACAGACACTCAAGGAAGAAATCCCCTTTCCATGGCCAAAGAGAGAGGTTACGATGATCTGGTTGAACAGATTGAAAAAACTGAACAATCTCTTCAAATTCAGGATCTTGTTAACACATCTGGAACTGACTCACTATTACAGAGGTAATATAATCTGTGTATAATATAAAATTTTAGGAGAAATCTATATATGTAGTGTGTATGTACATTTTTGAAATACTTGTTTACTGATATTGTGTATGAATTTAAGAGCCGTTGTGAACTAGCACTTTGTGAGAGCAAAATGCTAGCAAAGGTGTGCTAGCACAACTGATAATGTCAAAGGCGCCGCCCCTTTCTTCTTGCCCATGTGGTTTTTCCTTTGCTAGCACAGCGACACAAGAGTACACTCACTGTTCACAGAATTCAACAGCTAGAGCAGTCACGCTAGCAAGAGAGAGCGGGGAGACAAGTGACTACATGAACATGTCACATGTTGGAAAAGAAATTATAGAATTTTATCGATGTACGTAAATTACATGATTAATACATTCAGTATTGAAAAGAAAATAGTATAAACGTTGTATGTAAATAGTAATATATAAATAGTTTTTGGCTAGTTAAGCCTGGTTAGCCTAGTTAGGCTTAACTAGTAAACATGTTTTTCCCATGCTGTTTCAAAGTTCAGAACGAAAACTGACTGATTACAAGTATAGATTATAATAAAATCTTGTTCTATAGCCAATCCACATCTGTAAAATCCAGGTCATGTGGATTATGTTACGCGAGCAAATGTTGTGTAGTTTGCGGCTGCTTCTCACCCGCATAGCTTACCTAACAAAAATGGCTCATAGCCTCGTGGGGGCTGAGGGGGGAGAAATTTAAAAACTCTCGATGAATGATAATATGCAATATGTATCGTCATCGTCTCCCTTGCCGTTTGGATTGCCGAGCGGTAACAATCAACGACGTGTAGAAGCAGTTGAGTCAGAGATAGATGCTTCGTTTACAAACAACACAACCGTTTATTAAACACGAAAAAAGCTTACAAGATTTCCGCGATCTTTGAAGTTCTGCGGCGGCTGCGGCCTCTGGGTCTTCCTCTCCTTTCCAAGATAGTCCCTTTTTGAAGGAGTGTCCCTTGTTCGCGAATGAACCATTCCATCACGTCTCAACGACTCCGGAACGATGCGGTCGACTTCCGTTGATGGAAAGATGTCGATCCGAGGTTGGGAGATGGAGACGAAGATGGGTGCGAGACACACACACGACAATAGATCCGTCACTTGGAACTTTCGGGAGAAGAAGCCGTCGCGTCCTCGAATTTCTGGGGTTTTAGCTGTTTTCTCTCAGATTCCCCTTTCCGATTGGTCTCCCGTCGTCACCTGATGACAATTCGAAACCTTTCGGGGGCACGGGAGAGGTCAAAATCGAAGTTTAATCTGATTTCCAACCGGAAATGGTCGACGGACTTACATTCTTCTATTGTTTGAAAGTCTTCTATTGCCTAGCGTCGTGTTTTCATAGAATAAAAATCTATTTCTAACTACTAAATATTTTTTCTCTAAAACAATTATTTTCCGCGAATTTTAGTGAGGGTTTGGACCTATCCAGAGCCTCACACATGGGGGAAAAAAGGAAGGGCTTGGGAGTGACCGAGCGTACACTAGCTCCTGCATCCTGTAGTTTGCTGTGGCTCTAAGATTATATTTTCATTTGATATTGTATTTATTTTAGTTTGTATGAAAAATTTTCCTTTCTTTTATCATGTTACATTAAGAGTTAAAATTCAAATTGCAGTATATTTAATAATAATTTCTCTTAAGACATAACTATAATCAGTGGCGGCCTTAGGGGGTGTCGAGCAGGGCAATCGCCCAGGGCCTCGCTCTTGGAGGGGCCTCGCGCAACAACCAAGTAGAAAAAAGTTGATATTTAAAACTTTTTATTTTATCCTTGGCTATTAGTTATAACAATAAAATAAATTTAATTTATAGTACAGTATATATTANTCGGATAACAGACGTTTCGGATAACCAGCTTTCGGATAAACGACGCTCTACTGTATGTCACTCTAAACTACATTACCTTATACTTTGCATTACTTCAACATGTTTCTCATGCTGGGGTTTATTTTTAACAGCAACTTTGTTCTTTGAGGTTAATTTAGAAATATGATACTTTAATTTACAGATATGCTATTTTTATTGACAACTTATTAGATTTATTTACTGAATTTCTGATTACAAGTAAAAAATTTTTACCAGAAATTTGACTGTTAAATTACAAGTAACTTGACACTAAACTTCAGTTTCCTTTACAATCAATCCCTTTTGTGAGAGAACAAAAATACTTATTTGCCACCATAGCCAGTTGACCAAATACTGTGAAGTCAACATTGATTACAGCATCATAGGTGAAGAAATTGAAATTATTTCCAATGTGCAGACGACCAGAATGCAAATAAGGATAATTTGCATATTATTGCATATTGGATACTTAAAGCAGATAAAAAAACAACCTCATTAGTAAATTTTATTGATATTGTCATCATTTCATCTGTTTTTGCTACATCTCAAATTTGAATGTTCTTAGTACATAGACATGCATGCCAGTATTAGTTTTAATGAGTATTGCTGTTTAGAGAAAGTGCCTATAAATACAGTCTATTGTTGAATAATTATTTGTAATGCAAATAATCAAAAAATGGTAATCTGTAATTCTTTATTAATAAATTTGAGTTGATAATTAAGAGTTATAAATTACATTATTTGCTTAGTAATTTCATTTTAATTAACAAGATTAAGTTCTTTTTTCATTTATCTTCAGATGATAAATATCTCAAAAAAGTTTAATCAAAAATAAATTTTTAGACACTAAAACATTTTAATTTATTTATAAACAAGATTATTTAAAATATATCTATGAATACAAATCATATTCTAGAATAGTTTTATTTTAAGGATTGATCAGTTCTGAATGTGAACTTTTTCAAATTATAAATAATCAATAAAACTACATCATACTACAAAGGTAATTGGTTAAATTACTTAAAACTGTTTGAAAATAGCTACTTCAGAAAATTATTTGACTGACTGACATTGTTAATAAATAAAGTATAAACCCTAGGACTATAGGTTCATTCAAAGAAAGAAATCAAGATTAAGATAGAAAAAATGTTTTTGGTACAGAATGATTTATATCACATTGTTTGATGTATGTATTGAATTTTATAATTGTCTAAACTTAGCTGTACCTTAAATTGTTAATTTTATTATAAAAAAAAAACTTTGCTTTTTGTTAATTATTTTTATTTAGTAAATAAGTATTTATTTCACAAAGTTACAATAATTATATACTAAACATATACAAAATACATTAATAATGATCTTGATATTTGATTATTATTATTATTATTAAACTTAAGAACCAATGATGTTTAAATCATTGAAAAATTAAAACTTTACTATTCAATTTAATTCTTAAATACAATATTCATGAAATGGTCATAAAACAAGATTTATACAAAGTTATGACTTAAATTAACTATTGTGCTAATTAATTACTTTTAAATTTAAGGCTTTTCATATTCTTAATAATTGGATTTGGATAAAAGCAAATCTAAATTTATATCTAGGTTTTATTTATATAATTACATGAAATAAGTTTGAATGTTTGTTACAATTTAAACTGAATAAAATTGGCATGATGATAAAAATATATATATATAAATAATGCATACTTTTTAGATGTGGGCTTGTGAACGGGGCCACAAAGAAGTAGCTTTGTTGCTTTACCAGTGGAACAGAACAGCTGTTAAAGTGACAGACACTCAAGGAAGAAATCCCCTTTCCATGGCCAAAGAGAGAGGTTACGATGATCTGGTTGAACAGATTGAAAAAACTGAACAATCTCTTCAAATTCAGGATCTTGTTAACACATCTGGAACTGACTCACTATTACAGAGGTAATATAATCTGTGTATAATATAAAATTTTAGGAGAAATCTATATATGTAGTGTGTATGTACATTTTTGAAATACTTGTTTACTGATATTGTGTATGAATTTAAGAGCCGTTGTGAACTAGCACTTTGTGAGAGCAAAATGCTAGCAAAGGTGTGCTAGCACAACTGATAATGTCAAAGGCGCCGCCCCTTTCTTCTTGCCCATGTGGTTTTTCCTTTGCTAGCACAGCGACACAAGAGTACACTCACTGTTCACAGAATTCAACAGCTAGAGCAGTCACGCTAGCAAGAGAGAGCGGGGAGACAAGTGACTACATGAACATGTCACATGTTGGAAAAGAAATTATAGAATTTTATCGATGTACGTAAATTACATGATTAATACATTCAGTATTGAAAAGAAAATAGTATAAACGTTGTATGTAAATAGTAATATATAAATAGTTTTTGGCTAGTTAAGCCTGGTTAGCCTAGTTAGGCTTAACTAGTAAACATGTTTTTCCCATGCTGTTTCAAAGTTCAGAACGAAAACTGACTGATTACAAGTATAGATTATAATAAAATCTTGTTCTATAGCCAATCCACATCTGTAAAATCCAGGTCATGTGGATTATGTTACGCGAGCAAATGTTGTGTAGTTTGCGGCTGCTTCTCACCCGCATAGCTTACCTAACAAAAATGGCTCATAGCCTCGTGGGGGCTGAGGGGGGAGAAATTTAAAAACTCTCGATGAATGATAATATGCAATATGTATCGTCATCGTCTCCCTTGCCGTTTGGATTGCCGAGCGGTAACAATCAACGACGTGTAGAAGCAGTTGAGTCAGAGATAGATGCTTCGTTTACAAACAACACAACCGTTTATTAAACACGAAAAAAGCTTACAAGATTTCCGCGATCTTTGAAGTTCTGCGGCGGCTGCGGCCTCTGGGTCTTCCTCTCCTTTCCAAGATAGTCCCTTTTTGAAGGAGTGTCCCTTGTTCGCGAATGAACCATTCCATCACGTCTCAACGACTCCGGAACGATGCGGTCGACTTCCGTTGATGGAAAGATGTCGATCCGAGGTTGGGAGATGGAGACGAAGATGGGTGCGNAAAAACTAATATTTGCAACGTACGGTACATTAGATAAAAAGTTTGGACAATTATCCACTCATTTTTTATATAATTTCACTATGTCTAAGCCAATCAAAATCAGTAGGTGACAACAGTGTCCTCTTCTTGTAATTTATCTAACAACAGATCTTGATTTGGTAATTCAGACAATCTAAATCTAAAATAAAAGAAATGTATTAATTGAGAATAAAATATTAATATAAATATACAAAATCATAAGCAAATCATCTATCAAAAATGTTAAAACCATAAGTAAATATAGTAAAAATATATGAAAATATTTATATTTTTCACAACTTTTTGGCATTTACAAAGGTTATTTTTTTTCAACCTCCACTGACCCAGAATAAAGAAAACAAGAATGAGGAACAAAACCATTTTACTTGTAGAAATTAGTTACAGTCTTGACCTATTTTTCCACATAATTGCCTTGTCAATTCAGGAAGACATCATACCGTAACACCAGCTTTTGTATACCCATGTCGAAGAATATTGCTGCTGGGCCATTCAGCCAAACTTTAACACTGTGAATCAGTGGTATATACAGTGTGGACCTTGAAATTTGAGGCAACTCCTCACTGAGCTCAGAAATCAGGAACCAACACCCAGTGGCGGCCTTAGGGGGTGGCGAGCAGGGCAATCGCCCAGGGCCTCGCTCTTGGAGGGGCCTCGCGCAACAACCAAGTAGAAAAAAGTTGATATTTAAAACTTTTTATTTTATCCTTGGCTATTAGTTATAACAATAAAATAAATTTAATTCATAGTACAGTATATATTAATATTAATAAGTGCCTACTATTTCAATTCACATACTTTGCACAAAGGACAAGGGCCTCGCAAAGATCTGCCGCCCAGAGCCTCGCAATGGATAAGGCCGCCGCTGACTATAATTTAACTATTACTTCAAGTTACTAATTATGTATATTATACATTTGCAATAATTTATTGATGAAAGCAAATATAAGTGTTATAATTAATATAGGGGATAAAAAATTTTGTTGAGTTTGTACTGAATGAATGTTAGAATTGTGATTTGAAATAAATACTAAAATTAATAATGTTACTGATCTTGAGATAAACTGATAGTGTAATTTCTGATTATATATACCAGTTGTTCTTTTCACTAGAAAAATTTATTCAATGTATTATATCATTTCAAATATAAATTCAAGTTTCCAGTTCCTTATTTAACATGTTGATTTTCAAAATAGGTGTTAAATATAATAAGGTGGGGATTTTGATTCAATTGTAGTTGGGCACCTCTACCAGATGCCATCTATGAGTTTCTTGTCAAATATAGTTTCACTTTTAGTGATGGAAACAAGAATATTTGTAGTAAATAGATACTGTATAAATAATAGGTATATAGTTTGTATCTGAAATAATAATGAAAAATAAGTTATAGTACTAGAGAATAAAATTTTTTGACAGAAAAATAATAAAACTAACTCATGAAAATAATGTTATGTTTTATTGAAACACTTTTCCATAGCTAGCTTCTCTCTGCATGCTACAGAATAATAGCTTACTTTACAGCTTTTTTTAAAAGTTTTTACGCAACATAGCATGATCAAGTAGTTCTTTCACTGAATGGTATAGCTGTGTGTAAATAATGAAATTCATCTTCAGTCCTAATTCTTTATGCAGTGTTTGCATTTTGTTTCCAATCAAACTATTCAATGATTTTTTTCCCTCTTAATTTCACTTATTATGGTTTAACCAATTGTTTAATAGAAAAGGATGTATACACAATGAATAACTATTTCAAGAATGTGTAATGCAGTTTTTACATTTGATGGTTTCTACTTAGATGATAAAAATATATATATATAAATAATGCATACTTTTTAGATGTGGGCTTGTGAACGGGGCCACAAAGAAGTAGCTTTGTTGCTTTACCAGTGGAACAGAACAGCTGTTAAAGTGACAGACACTCAAGGAAGAAATCCCCTTTCCATGGCCAAAGAGAGAGGTTACGATGATCTGGTTGAACAGATTGAAAAAACTGAACAATCTCTTCAAATTCAGGATCTTGTTAACACATCTGGAACTGACTCACTATTACAGAGGTAATATAATCTGTGTATAATATAAAATTTTAGGAGAAATCTATATATGTAGTGTGTATGTACATTTTTGAAATACTTGTTTACTGATATTGTGTATGAATTTAAGAGCCGTTGTGAACTAGCACTTTGTGAGAGCAAAATGCTAGCAAAGGTGTGCTAGCACAACTGATAATGTCAAAGGCGCCGCCCCTTTCTTCTTGCCCATGTGGTTTTTCCTTTGCTAGCACAGCGACACAAGAGTACACTCACTGTTCACAGAATTCAACAGCTAGAGCAGTCACGCTAGCAAGAGAGAGCGGGGAGACAAGTGACTACATGAACATGTCACATGTTGGAAAAGAAATTATAGAATTTTATCGATGTACGTAAATTACATGATTAATACATTCAGTATTGAAAAGAAAATAGTATAAACGTTGTATGTAAATAGTAATATATAAATAGTTTTTGGCTAGTTAAGCCTGGTTAGCCTAGTTAGGCTTAACTAGTAAACATGTTTTTCCCATGCTGNTGTATACAATTTTTAATATTTTGCAGCAAATAATAATTATTTTTATACATTCATAATTCTTATTTTTCATTGAATTTAGATATAATTCCTTTAAATCTTGTGAATTTCATTTAGAGATGCAAAATATCATACAGTAAAGGTTCATTAATTCAGAACCTAAGAGACTACAGTGATTCTGAATTATCAAAACATTAGATTATTGGATTTTTTTACTAAATTCAGCAAGTTATATGCAATCTGAATGTTTTAGACGTTGGAGGTGACTCTGAAAGTTTTGTTATACAGGAATACTGTAAGGCCTGAAACAAAATATTTTTTATTTATGTTCAAAGTACTCTCCTCTGGCCAAAATGCACTTATGTAATTGCTCCTTTCAAAGATCAAAAGCATGACACCACTCATTTACTGGAATGCTATCAAAATACTTGTCATGGAAGCTTCAATTCTATCCTTTGTGTTAAATTTGCAACTCCTCAAATGTTTTTGAAATTGAAAAATAGTCAGAAGTCACACAATGCCGAATATGGTGGATGTTGAATGATTCTTATATTATTAGCTTAAAGGAAATCAACAGTCTCCTTGGCAGTGTGTGATGGATTATCATGATGCAAAATTTTACTCAAATTTTCAGTGATTCCAGAATTCTAGGAAAACAAACTATAATGTACCAATTAGCTGTTACTGTCTTCTGTTCATCAAGTTTAATTGCTCTTGCCAGATCAGTGCTGCTGAAAAAAACAGCAAACATAACTTTTTTTTTATTTCTCCCTGCTTTTTTACAGTTGTTGGAATTGGATCATCTTTATGAATCCATACATGATATTCTTGACATGTGAGACAGTCTCATCATCTGTGACAATCTTGGAAATAGTCTGGTGTCCACCTTGGTTCAATATTTTCAGAGTTTTCTTAAAGATTCTGACAAACTCTGACTTTTGGAAATATGTCAACTTATTGAGACACTACTTTTTTTTAACCATAACTCCTTATGCCAAATGTCTGCAATTGCAGTCTATAGTCTCTCCTGTATCATTTCATAGGTACATTTTTGCAATCATACATTGGACAGCAGTTACATTTTTAGGAGTCACTGCTGTTCATGGTTGTCCTTCACATGGTTCATCATGAAAGAAAGTATCACACATATGAAATTTTTTAAACCACCTGAACATAATAGTAAAGGATGGAGCATCATCCCCAAAAGTCAATTTCAATTTTTTATAACAGTATGTCATTCAGTCTATCACAAAAATTACAGTAAATCATTGCATGAAGTGCTTCTCTAGAAAGTTTCATTGTTACTATTAGAAAGGGGATGGGAATCTGTCTCATTTAGATTAAGGGAGATTGATGAAATGCATTTATGTATAATGTGTCAGATAAAGTTTAATTTATCATGGATGGTTTTCTTGTATTGCAAAACTTTCAGAGTAATCCTTGTATTTTGTATCAGCACATACTGATGTGTGCTTCAGATGTTTTTATTCACACTGTTTAATCATTCTGAAGACGATACAATGCATGATTGATACTGTGTTAAGATTGATTGCAGTACTGAAAAAACATTATTTAATGAACACATTATTGCATAAGATTAATATTCAAAATGATACATATACATGTAATAATTATTTTCCAGACATTTGTTGTATACATACAATACACAAAAGCTACCTATGCTCAGAATATGAGAATTCAAATATATAGCAACATGCATGGCTGCACCCCTGCCTTTGTCTCAATTTTTGCCTGAGGTTTTTAGTGCACATGTCCAAACAAATTCTGATTTGCAAAATACATGTTAGATCATTATTAAACAATTCTAGATTATCTGTTACTTTTCAGATGGGGCCTGATTACCTGATATTCCAGATTATTGGATGCTGAATTAATGAACTACTTTTTCTATAAAATTATTCAAATAGTTTCTCAGACAATCTTTAAATATCAATTAATTAAATACAATTTATTCAAGACTAGCAGACCCCACCACGCGTTGTTGTGGCTCAAAATGTATCTATTATAAATGTATAACACTTCCCCCGTGGGGGAGGAATTTTTCGAAAAATTCCTTAGTGTACATTTTCTTGACGTACCCTATTAAAACACAATCAAAAACACAAAAAACCGCATCTGAAATAATATAATAGAAGCCGAGTTCTTCATGGTAAGCCTTAATCCTGTCCCTCTCCCCTGTGGGGAGAATATCGAAAAATCCCTTCTTAGTGTACATTCTGTTGACGTTCCCTATTAAAACGCAATCAAAAACACAAAAAACCGCATCTAAAATAGTATAAATAGAAGCAGAGTACTTTACGGTAAGCCTTAATTCTGTCCATCTCCCCCAGGGGGAATTTCAACATGTATATTATATAAAAACACGTGTGTATTTGAATACAGCGTTGTCAAAATTTCAAAGGAATCAGTAGGAACAAATGAACATTACATTTTTATTTATATAGATAGATAGAAGATGATCTGCTTTAGTTCATTTTCATAGAAAAGCATAATGCCTCACAGAAAAGCAAACATAGGGCATTGTACTCATAGCACCATCTGTTGACATAAAAGCTTTAACCTAGATTATATATTTTAATTTATATGAATGTTTAACGGAATAATATATAGTCTATGTTCACCCTGAAGTTCCATTCTAAATATTGGTGAAAGAATTTTTGAAATCGGATGAGTAGTTTCAGAGATTACCTGCTGCAAACAAACTTACAAACATTACCTCTTTATAATATTAGTATTTTCGAATAATTATTAAGAAAATTTTCGAAAAATTATTTGATTCAATACAAATAACAAAGTATTTGGATTTCTATTCATTTTGAATTTAAATTAAAAATAATGATTTTAAATTAAAGATAATTTAGGAATTAATGCAATATGTATATGTTTGATATGATTTGCAATATTTTGTAAATATGAGCATTTATTACAGCAAAAATATGTTCAAATATAGTGTTAGGAAACAATTTAATATTAACTTTTGAACTACTATTTCTATTTTGGGACATTATTTTTATCAAAATATTATTGGATTAGAAAAAAATAACTATTTTTATATTTATACTTTATATAAAATTTATTAATGCAATTTAAAGAAAAACTTTTACTCAAATGTGTTGCTACTACTGATGTTTGTACTATTTTATAAATAAAAGAGAGATTCTGGTCATTTGTTTGTGGTATGTTTGTATGGGAAATCCTTGTTAGTTCAAAATTCAAGGGATGAAATAATTGTGACTTCAAATTATCTGAGATTTACATATTTCTGTACAATATGCCAAATGCCACTTAACTGATTTAATTTATTAAGGAAACAGAATATGGTTACATGTACAGAATACTAATTTTGTTAAATAATAATATAAATAAACTTGAGGTAAACTGCATGTGTCTGGTGGGAATCTCACAGATTGCCACATAGGTTTTATAAAACTAAAGCAGAATTCTTCAAAATGTAGCACAAATTATTTTTAATGTGATCCAAAAAGTAGTAAGTTTTCCAAATGTAGTAGCCTACAGCCCTACAAATATCTCAATCTGCTACTCATAACCCAATCTTGCAATCTTGAAAACCAGCTGTATTTTACAAGATAAGAGAGAAAAAAAAGGGTAGTCCATGTGTAAGGTGACAAAATGTGTTACTGTAAAAGCAAGGCCATATTGACCAGAGTAGAGTTGTTCTTGGTCTATTGTTCTCTTATGGTAAGGAGCCACCTTAATGTAAATGAATGATTGAATGTATGCTTATCACAGTTCAGATAGAATTTTCACTTTGAATTTCGAACTAACCAAATTCCTTAACATTCAAATCTCTATATCCCTGGCTGGGGCAAAAGTACAGTTATGAACTAATGGGAATTTTGAACTATCCAAGTTCGAATTAATGAGGATTTCCTGTATATGTGTGAGACATCTATATGCATGTTCGTGTTTCAATTCTTGGTGCCATTGAATTTTTTTTTTTTTACAACCTTTCTTTAGGAAATTAGCTTTTTTATGAACTTTTTCATTGTATTTTAAAGAAATATTCTCAAAAGTTTACACACATTTTTCTAATGACCATAAAAGTTTAATTTAGCAACCAAATCTGTCATATCATTATCTACAGACTAATTAATTCATCACAAAAAACATAACACATTTAACTTTGCATTCAGTTAATTTTATTTGAAAACAATAAATTTAATAACATTTTTTAATTATTAAGAATATGTGATCTAAATAATAATTTACAGCTAGCTGAACAGTATTGTTACCATTTAATTTATTACTATTCCTTCACCAAAATACTAATCATTTATTGCTTCCAATGTTGAACTTAATGACTTAGGAATATTTTGAAATTGTTTAAAAATTTTTATTATTTCCATTTATTGATTGAAGAATGTTTGGAAAAAATATTAAATGTTTCAGGTGAGATACAAAATAACAATGAAAGTCCATATATTGATGTTGTTGGAGTATCAGATGAAGAGGCAGAAAATAAATCCTTAGCAAGAAGTAAGTCTTTGATTTATATAATTTGAATTTATGGTTTTAAATCTGTATTAAATTATGAGCAATCATTGTTACAGATGGCGATTCAATGTCTAATCAGAAAGAGAACTGTAATGATATCAACATAACATCAAATCATGGATCAGAAACAGAAAATCATGTTACAAATGTCTTAACTCTTGCAGAACAGATAATAGCTGCAATGCCAGACCATATTAAAGCTACTACAGTGGCAAATTCAAATGAGATCACAGATACAAATGGAGATCTTAAAGACGATATATCTCATTCTTTCTTATCTCAAGATCCAGAAATGTGTTCAGTTGAAGGTTCTCCACCTTCATTAACATTATTGAATGGCAATTCTATTTTTGAATTTAGTGACCAGAATTACAGGTATAGATTCACAATTTTTGTGGTATATATATATTCTTATTTAGTATTTATTATATATGTAATGGATATAATGGAACATTAATGTAATTTTAATTACATGTTGTTTATTTTCTTGATGTGAAACTTTCTTTTGGTTAAATATACAATATTTTTTAATTTTAATCAATTTAGTAACTGCTTTTACATAGAATGGATGATTCTCAAGTTAGCTGATTAATGATGGATGATTAATTGGAATTATATGATTGACTAATTATATAATTCCAATTAATTAATTATTATATAATTAATTAATTGTTAACTAATTGCTGTTAGATATTTTTAAAATCTTATAAAATTTCAAATTTATTTATTTTCAATTTTAATTTTTATCTTTTATAATAATAGTTTTACTTAGTAACTGCCAATTAAATATATATTTATTTTATTATTTGTTTCTGGTTTAAAGTTGTACTGAAAAGTAAATTACTTAAATTGTCTTCACTGAAGTTGGGTTACTATTAATTTTAGTAGTTGGAGATTTGATTTTTACACAAAGGAGTGAGATGCTTTTATTATTTTTTTTCCTTGTCATTAGTTAGTAAGAAATGTTGCAATCTCTACTGGAGTGTTCAGTGTACTAGCAGTGCATTGCACAATCACAACACTAAAATAAAAAATAAATATAAATAAAAATAATAAAAAAAAAGAATTAGTATATTTTTATATTCACATAATGAAAGAAATCAGGATCTCTTTTGCATAGTTAATATTTTGTTCACATTATATTCTAGTGGACCTGATTGCTTGATATGTAAGATGCTAAGGAGAACAATGCATGTGGCTATGTAATTGAGTTAAAATTAATGCAACATAATTTATTAGGTTGTTCAGAAAGTGAGTTTGTTTTTTTTACCACTAGACGGATTAGTCGTATTTTTCCTGCCATTTTCATTCTAAACCATATTATCATTATATATTTTGACAGCTAGCATTTTAAGGCTTATTTGTAAAAAATTTTGTTTGATTTCATGCAATTGTTTATTTTTTTGTGTTCCATCAAATATGGAAGATCGAAAGCATCATTTTCGGCATATTTTGCTTTTTTATTACCAAAAAATCAAAATGCTGTTCAAGCAAGAAAAAAATTGTGGTACATGTATGGAGATGATGTGTTGAAAGACAGTGCCAAAACTGGTTTACAAAATTTCATTCTGGCAATTTCAATATTGAAGATGCACCACGTTCTGGATGGCCAGTTGAAGCCAATGAAAACAAAATAAAGGTACTGATTGAAGCAAACTGCCGAATAACAACACGTGAAATCACTAAGAGATTAAATTTGTCAAATTGAACTGTTTATGATTACTTGAAACAAATTGGTTTCGTTTCAAAGCTTGATATATGGGTTCCACATGTTCTTAAAGAGAGATGCTCTCTTTGGTGGGATTTTAAGGAAATTTTTTTTTTGGAGCTTTTACCAGACAATTTAACAATTGATTTGAAAGTGTACTGCCATTGAGTAAACAAATTGAGTAATATCATCAAACAGAAAAGGTGGCCAGAATTGATCAACAAAACAGGTGTAGTGTTTTATCACGATAATGTCAAATTTCACACAAGTTTGGTAACTCGTCAGAAACTGTTATAACTTAGATGGAAAGTGCTATCACACTAACCATATTCACCAGATCGATCACACTCAGATTATTACTTGTTCCAATCTATACAAAATTTTTTAAACTAAGACATTTACTTGAAATGACAATGTCAAAAATCACTTGGATCAGTTTTTTTGTAAGCAACGATCAAAACTTTTATGAATGTGAAATCATGCTACTGACAGAAACGATGACAACAGGTATTCGAGCAAAGTGGTTGATATATAATTCAATAAAATATTTATTTATTATAAAAATATTGTGTTTTTTTCCATGGAAAAAATGAACTTACTTTCCAAACAACCCAATAAATAACATTCTTTATAACAGGGTCTGTACAGACCTGGTAAGTCAGGGAATAAGATTTTTAGCAGAAAAAATCAGGAAAAGTCAGAATTCACAAATACCATGGAATCTGTCTGCCACTCTTGCTCCCTTTTGATCTGAACACATTTTAAATTCAGTTCAGTATAGAGAAGTTTACGAAAACTGGAGCAACCAGACAAATGACAAGATTTGTTGCACTAATATCTCATAAACTATAGATGATGATCTAACAATTTAAATTTTGTTGGATAGGAGGTTTATGTTCATATTTAAAATGATGAGTAGGGGTGTGCAGCCATGCAGGGGGGTAGCAGTTAAACATGAACATCAAAACTTCAACACAGTTCAGCATTTGGGCGGCAAAACTTTGGATGACAAAGAGATAGTGTGTCAAAATTTGTGTCAATTTGTACAGAATGACAGGATCTACAATATTGTTTAGCAATAATAACCAATAAAATAGAATTTGTAAAGTTATAAGCCAATAACTGTGTAGATTGAAGAAAATGTTTATAATGTTGAAGAAATTGCAAAGGAAATACAAACAGAAATGTAAGAGATGTATGCCATTGGAAAGAAAATTTAAAAGGAATCTGAAAAGCCCAAACTGACTAATGCTGAACAATACAGTTTATTTAGTGAGTGTAAGAAAACTGAGTGCATCAACTTCAACACAAATATTTTGAGTGTGTTGCTATCCAAAATGATAGATATTGACTTGGAATATTATTACCATCAAGGCTTTATTTGTTTACATCTTATCCTCCTTCTAATAACACAAAGACAGATCCATGCCTTAACCTGTCTTGTGTTGTTTTTGAAAATTTTCATGTTGACCTCATTGACCTGCGTGGGCGATCCCAAATATTTTCGTGTCTGCATTGGAACATTTTTGATACTAGATGTTGCTGTGTGTCAAAATTTTTATATTAAAATTAACTTTTAAAATATAATTTTTTTTGTTTTTATATTTTTCAATATATTTATTTTGTTTGTGCAACATAAAAAAATAATTTTTAATGACACAGTAAACATGATTATTATTTAAAAAAAAAAATTGTTAGGCTTAACATCAATGAAAATTTAACATGGTGTCACAGGCAACAGAGAAGAATTTCAACATCGAATAGGTTAAACAATTGTTATTGTGTCCAGTACACAACCCTCCCAATATTTTTGACCTGCAAACAACTGGTTAATTAAAGTAGAGTTTTCAAAAACACCATCAACAACGATCCACTTTCCTGCCAAAACTCTGCTTCTCCCACTATAAGTTTTTGGGAAGGATGGGAAGAAATGTAATGACCTTGAATGGGTCCATGCTGGACCAAAAAGAGCATGCGATGAGCAATTTCTCCCTCTCGCAGAGTGTGTGATTTCTTCTGTTTAAATTATTTTGAATTTACTGCCTCCTCACTTTAAGAAAATTTGATTTTGCAATGCAAGTCTTTTCTTATTTAAATAAAATTTATGAATTAAATTGAATCATAAATTTTTTTATATGACATAGAAATGATGTAGTTAATTACTTACAAAAAACTTTGCATAAAATGAATTAAGTGAATAAAGTGTTTTTTTTTAATAAAAAAAAATTATATAATTATGTATAAAATGGGCTTAAATAGACATAGCTGAATATTACATAATGGAAAGGGAAAATGTAGAGACGTTAAGTCAGGGAATAATGTCATAATTGGTCAGGGAATCAAAGATGGAATTATCTGTATGAACCCTGTAATAACTGACATGTAAATAATGATTATGTTCATTTCAGGATTCATAAATTAAAAATGCTTGGATCTATGAACTCTCTTTTCCTATGCTTCTTAATGTGTTCTTATTCTCATATGACCAATATAACTAATCCAACCCAACATATATGTATAGCTAGATAGAAAACTAGTACAATGGCTAATATTTCTAGTGGTTGCGTTTTTACATTATTAATTAATTGGATTATGTCATAATTATGCCCACACATTATATATTCTTTCCAATGCAATGTAGTTAACAAACTCAAATAATTGGCAATATAATAATCTACTTTTTTAAAATCAAAAAGTTTCTTTCAAAAATAAGCAGGCAAAATCAAATTGATTAAATGTGGTAATTGTCTATGAATGAGACTGAAGCTTATTCCTTAATAAATATATAATTCTAAGAATTTATTAGTAACATAGTAAAACATTTTCAGTTTGAATAAAAATTTCAGAAGAAAAATGCAAATAAGAAAAGCTAGTGATTTCTGAATGAACTGGATGTATTGCCATTTATTATTCTGAATTATCATTATTAATAATGTTTTTTCAGTGGAATGATTATTTACCAATTTCTTTGATTAATAGAGAATAATCATTACTTGACAAATAATTGGTGGAGGACCCAATTAATAAGATTAATGATTATTCAATAATAAATTTACAGTAATGCAAGGCAAGTTCAATAGACAACTGGAAAAGTGTTGTTTAAAAATTGGGAAATTTTGAACATTAGAACTAACTTTACCTTGTCAAAATTTACTATGCTATTGTTTGCCATCTCAACTTTTAATGACATTTCTAATTTTCTATTGACCTTGTCTCATAATTTTACAGTAGCTGATTAATATGATTACTGTAGTTTAACTATTAGCAAACAGTTTTACAAGTGAATTACTAAGTTTATCATATAATTATGTCAAATGTATTTTTACTTTCTTGGCTTTTTATAGAATACTAGCTTACCCGTCGTGCATTGCTGCGATCTCAGAAGAAAGGAAATTCAAGCAAACTCGTTATGATAAAATTCAATTTACTTTTTATTATTTTTATTGAAACTTATTATTATTATTCATTTTCATCGGGAAAACATTTCAAAGTGTCGTTTCAATTCTATTTATTTATTGGAGTGTTTGTGGATACACGATATTTTTTGTTTTTCCGTCTGGTGCGTACACGAATAAATCGGAAGGATTTTCGACGCGTGAGCCAGCCACATACAGTTGTCCATGCGAGAAGCACGGATTCTCCAAATTTAGCCCACACACTCGCTGCGATTGTCAGAAGTGTGATATTCCCCACTTTTATATATATTTTTAAATCCTTTATAATTTTAATTATTTAATTGCTCCTTCCTCTCTTCCTTGGCATGTTGTGAAATTTCTGATAGTTGGATAATAAACCGTTTTATTGTAATTTGTCTTTTTAAATTATTTTGAGTTGATATTAAAATTTGGAAAAGGGGATCCCTAGATCGGTAAAATAAGCGAATTTCCTTCTACAACTTCGGTTGTTGTTCGGTATACAGTTAAAGTTTTAACAAAGTTCGAGCGAATACGTAATTAGCAAAAAAAGTTAAAATAAAGTGATTAAACAAACATTATTACAAATATCGTAAATAACAGTTCATAAATGCATATATAGAAATATTTTTTGAAGGGGGAAATGGTCTTCACAATTTGAAATCGATCGGACACACTGTGCTCGAATGCTCGTGTAAACACGCGCCATCTATTGTAGGATAAATGTACTATGCCAAAAACCTTCGCGGGAGTGTATTAAACAACTTCCCAAAGTTTCATGGCAATCGGATAAACGGTGTGGTAATGCATGAAGGACAGACAGTGCGCGCGCGCACGCACACACACACACACACATTCATTTTTATATATATAGATAACATAAGGAAAATATGGTGTTTCTGCCTCTTTCTTGATGTTTTAATACTCCAAGAGCCCAAAAATTAAGAAAAACTCTTACAAAATTCTGTTTGTGTCAGCATGTATTTTACATTAAAACTCAGAACCAGAGAAATAAATGTTTCTAAGAATGATTCTTCTGTCCTATGAATAAACCTACCAAGTTTCATAATTTTGGTAGGTTTATTCATAGGACCAGAAATTTGGCAAGTATATATATAACATACATATATATATATATGGGGCATTAATACTATTAGATTTTGGTAAAGGTCAAGGAGATGAAGAGATAGAAGGGGAATTGTTATGTCATGAGTAGGGGTCAGACTTGATAAAAGTTATTATTATTAGCATTTACATTTACAATTTTTTTAAAAACTCACTTTTACCCAAAAATAAACTTTTTACCTTTTTTATAATAATTGATAATATATAAAAGTTATTTTTTTAATAGAATCTTATAACAGATAGCATCACATTCAACTTCGACTTATTTATTCAATCTTATTAATATTGCTAAAATTGTAAACATGTATAAACAATCTAATGATACATGTTCTTTGAAAGCATTTATGTTAATTCATCTTCAGACAAAATGTGTATTAACTAAATATAACATCTTTGGAATACTTTTTCATTCTGATTTAGCTTACTCTTATAATGCTTAATATAAATTTAAACATATCTCATTTTTAAATTTTAATTTTATTAATACAGTCGACCCTCCCTATAAGATCATAGATACGTTCCATTCTTTAGGAATCTGATTTCTTATGAGTCCTTCCAATCACAGCCCGATACATGTCAAGTTTATGGACTACGGCTGATTGAAAGGTTTTTTTTTCATAAAATTAATCGATTCTAGAATAATCCGACTCAACATTTCCAAAATACGTATATATTTTTTGGAAATAATTTGTATAAACTACGCTATAAACAAAAAATTGTAGGATTACTTACCGAGTGTGCATAATTCGACATCGTCATTGCTAGAGCTTGTTTTCATCACAGAACAGCTTAGCAAATAGTGGCCGATTTCTAACAACTTATTTTTCTGCGAAAACTTCGTTGAACTTTGGAGACATCATTAATATAAATAATTTTAATCGCCGTTGAATAAGAAATGTTTTTCACAAGAAATGTATAAAATTACAGTACTGTATTAGACTTACGGTACCTAATTTACATACTGTACAGACGATAGTTAGCGTAAAATCTCCGTAGCGTGGCGACGCGCTAGACGGCGAAAATTATATATTTAATTATACAATAAGTTACAATAAGTTAATATATAATTATATATACAGTACCTAATTTATATATACAGGTATACCTCGACTTACGTCGTTTCGAGTTACGTCGTTCCCGATTATACGTCGTTTGTCAAAAAAGTATACGGAAAAATAAAAATCAAGTTTAAGTCATTTTATTCGACTTTACGTCCGTCCGCCACAAATATTGAAGTCGTAATATCACTAGAAAAGCGTTTAAAGCACATAAAATCATATTTAAATATATACATTTACAAGTATGTACTGTATTTACAGTACAGTATATGCATTCGTAAATTTAGATTACTTTTGTTCTGTACTCTATTAAAAACTAAAATTTATTTGTTTGTAAGCTTAAAATAGATTCTTATTAACCATATATTATTAAAAATGCATTAATAAATAAAATGCAGAACCGGAAATAGTAATTTATGGTTTAGCCTAGTGACAAGTAGATTCGGAGACAAGTAAATTTGACTTACGTCGTTTTTCGACTTAAGTCGTTTTCCTGGAACCAATTACCGACGTAAGGCGAGGTATACCTGTAATTTATATAATACTGTCCAGACGATAGAAACCTCTCCGTAGTGTGGCGCTACGGATGGTGGGAAAGTAGTTCGGCTGCCTGATGACGTTTTACGTAATTATAGGAGTTTTTTTTACCTTTTTTTACGGATACCGTCACAATTTTTTCAGTTTTATAGGAATCGTAATTATAGGGGAGTCGACTGTATATCATCTTTTCCTGTGCATAAGGGAAAGGAACCTTAATATGCTGACAGTTTCTTAATACAGTTTAATTATATATATATTTTTCTTTTATTAAAAAAAAGCAGTATTATATTTTGATTACTTTTCTACAAGTGCAGTCAGAGCAAAATTAGACATTGATAATTAGAAATGTTGTAAACTGTTATAGAGCAAGTAAAACCATTTTAAGAGAAAATATAACTTTAACCCATCACAAATAATAATTGAAGAATTGAAAATCATTCAAAAACTATTTGATTGTAAGATTTTGAATAATTTTTGAAATGATGTGATGTTTTATAATTTAATATTTAATATAGTTTAACTATGATGTTGACTGATTAAGTTAAATTAGGTAAAAGTATTTGTTCATATAAAAATTAAATGTTGGACATTAAAGGTTTAGTTCTTTGATATAAATGTTTAAATTTTCATTGCAAACTAGGATTTTCAAAATGTTTTGGTTCCTGAAAAACATTCTAACAAAATAAATTTTAATGAATTATTCCTCATAATAGCTAATGAAAAATATTGTCAGCTAGTCATAATAGAATGATTTTGCAAGATTATGACAAAATATCTTTTTTAGGTATTGTGATGTAGGCACACCATCATCATCATTGAGCCCCGCTTCATCCTGTCTTCAGAGTCCTGGTAGCTTCACCTTAGAATCACCATCACCCCCACCCACAACTGCCGATTTTTGTGAATTCTTCCAAGCTTCAGGAAAAATGATGGAAACTGATTTCTCAAAACTTACTCTTTCTGGTACATGGATGGTTTTTTTTTTAAATATATATGAAATTATAACAACTTTAGTATTGTGATTCAAAAATATTTGTGATAAACAAACTGTCATGTGAGAATCTAATACTGTGTATTTATATCATGTAGATCAAGAACAACGTGAATTGTATGAAGCCGCAAAAATTATACAGAAGGCATATCGATCCTATAAAGGACAGAAACAGCAGGAAGAAGATGAAAAAGAAAGAGCTGCTGCAATTCTAATTCAGAGTTATTACCGAAGATATAAGCAGGTAGTATTAATGAAATTTTATTTAAAACTAGTTAAAATCTCAATAATTTAAGATTTAAAATTTTTTTAAAGTTTTTCAGATAATAACTAATATGAAAACCAATACAAATGCCATGAAACGTAATATCCAGCAACTCTAGTTTTATGTTCTTTTGTATATAAAATAACTTTTAATGTTGCTTTTTAAAGCCAAATGATTGCCAGATTAGATCAAGCTATATTACTGCTATTAATTGCCTACTATTAATAATTAAATGCTAAGTAATTTGGCTTAGAGTAGGTGCTAAGTGTCATCTCTTATTAAATTTAATGATTAAAATTAAATTAATATTTATTAATTAATTTAGAAGGTTCTGAAAGAAGAAAATTGGCCTGGAGTGAGGCTTTAACCTGCAACTTCTCCTTACTGTGCAGATGCATTGCCAGTTACACTNAAATTTTTTTAAAGTATATGTATTACAAGCAAATGACAAAAGCAGCTCAACTTATTCAGAATCAATTTCGTAATTATTGTGAACATAAACGTTTCAAAAAGAGTCAAGAAGGAGAAAATGGTAGTAATCTTTCAGGAACTGTAAGTCCACTACATTCAAATGGAACTGCAAATGGAAATAATAGTAACAGTAATAATGGAACAAACTACTATTACAATTTCTCTGATTCAGACAAAAGACTGAACAGGGATAGCATATCATCAACAACGGCTTTAAAGTAAACAATTATTTTTAAAATTGCTGTTATTTTAGAATTTTGACTTCAATTAATTAAATGCTTTCCTCTCCAGAAGAACATTTTCTCAAAGACGACAACATCAAGCTGCCAGGAAGATTCAACAGTTTTTAAGGCAATCCAAGAACAAGTTAGTGAAATGATCTTATAGGAATCTATTTTAATTCTTATTGTTTAAATATAATTTTGATCTATTTTATCCAGTCAAAATATTTCTTTTGAATAGACTATTAACAAAAGTAACTGACTAACAAATAAATCTCTCTTTCTATTGCTAACTTCACTGAAGTATTTGGGACTATTTGCATGGGAAAGTGGTGAGTTTGAATCCATTGTTGCTATTCCAACAAAATTTTGTGATTTTATTTTCTTTAGGCAATGTTTAGGCCTTTTTTCAAAAGCTACTACTATTAATATCTTTGCTATATTTCTTTCTTTTCTGTTAATAAATATTGTAATAAAGTTATAAAGTAAAACAAAAATGCAAGAAATATTGAAAATTATTAGTTTTTTTGTTTCAAAAAACTATATAGTTCAAAAATAATTAGTTTAGAATATTTCAAAAATATAAATTAGGAAATGTTTAATTGTTTAATTTGTGTTTGATTTTGTTGGCAGTTTAAGATAATAATTTAATTTGGTAATGTAGAATCTGCTTTTATGTTTTTTTTTTTTTTTCTCATTATTATACTGTATATGAGGGAAGTCAGTAATTAGGTTACAGGCAGACACTTATCAAAAAATAAGCAAGAAAGTTTCTGATGTAAAACATTCATTATTCAACAAAATACCTATCAACATTCAGACATTTGTTCAATGTCGTCAAAATCATTGCAGCACAAACATTCTTTATTCAAGTGTTCTTTTAGAAAGGTCTGAAAAAGTGGTAATTAGAATCATATCTGGGCTATATAATAATCTTTTGGATTTTAAAAAATACTTGAGTTGCAAACATTTTTAAGCATTGAGTAGATTCAAGAGTGTACTGCTGTGATTCTGACATAAATCAATAAACTTTTATGTAGAATTTTTTCAAAATCTGGTATACAATCATGATCACGACATTGAACAATTATCTGAATATTAATAGATATTTTATTGAAAAATGACTATTCTGTTAGAAATTTTTCATTAAGTTTTGGTAAGAGACTGGTTTTAAACTAATTACTAACTTTCCCTCATGTAGTTTCTGCATATTAGTTTTGACATTGTCATTATGCAAAGATTTTTTACAGAATATTGTTTAATTTTAAATAAGTGTTTCAATTAAAAAAACTGTAGTAAATTTTAAAGATGTACAAGTTAATTCTAAAAAATAAAGTGCTTCTTAATTTGTTTTTAAGTGTATTGAATATTGATATTTATTTTCAATACTCTTTCAATATAACTTTAGAACAATAAATTCTGTATTAATATTTTTAAATTTAATTATATTTTTTATTTAATATGAAATTGGCATATTAATAAAAATATATTAAATTCTACTATTGAACAGTTGATAAAATATAACAGATTGATTTTCTAGTTTAGTGATCTTGAGTTCAGTTGACTATTTGTAAATATTTGTGTGAAATATAGAGTTAGAAAAAGAGAAAAGAAAGAGATTTCTTACCAGCTCAACTAACTATGGATAGTAGTAGCATGAACAAGATTTGAAATTGATGTCAACTGAAAGTAGCATCATAGTTAATTAGTTGAACAGGATCTTCTGTTGGAAAGGTTACTAATATTTAATGATAAAGATGCTACAAATTTAGTGTGATTTTTCAAGTGTACTACTAACCCAAGAAAGTTGAGAATTGGTGATTTTTATTTCAGGAACTAATTATAAAATTCATTGTAATGATTGTTAAAATCGATAAAGAAAACTTACCAATAATTTTAAAATTTATTTGCATTGAATACTTCAAATTCTGAAGAATTCATAAGAAATTTTCTGTTAGAATTGAATTTGTTCTAAAACTTAAAACAAATTTCTATGAGAGATTAAATGTAGTCAAACTTTGGGTTTTGAATGACTTGCTTTTCAATCAATTCAGTTTATGAACAAAATTTTGAACTCATTTTTGCCCCTGGTCACTGAACAAGCTACTCAGCATAGCCAGCCACTGATGGTCAACTTCTTATACTTTGTATGTTAAAGAAAATCAATGACCTGACCAATCAATGACAGGACTACCTATTCAAAAGTTAGTGGCACCAAGATCACTTCATGTCATATGAATCATTGATGACATTGCTATTTAAATTAAATTTCAATGTGCATGTGGGAAAGTTACTATTTCTGTTTTTTGGTGTGTGCCACAGTTGAATTTAAATCAAATGAACTAATAAGAACCTCATTAATTGACATTTGCATAATATAAATGGCACTCAAGAATTTGTTTAAATATCCTGAAGTTAAATTAAATGACAAAAATTTATTAATATAATATTAATATTTATTAATACTAGGTAGCCAGTTAATTGAAAACTAAAAATAATAATTAAATTTATAAGTAATAAAATAATAATTAAAACTGGTCTTTACATCAAAACTAAAATTAAATTAAAATTGAAATCAATTCAATTGAAACATAATATTTCAGAAAGTATGGATAAAGTATTTGTCCATCTTGATTGATTTGGTTATACTGTATTTTATGCAGGCAGAGTTGACACTCTATGTAGCATTTCTAAGTGTTGGTTTCAGTTTTGGTTGGTGGTGATGGAACAATTTGCTTTTAATGTTAAATATATATAATATTATCTATATCTATATATGTTATCAGTATCTATTCCATATTATTTCTATTCCATATATATATATATATGGAATAGAAATAACATTATATTACCTTTTACCTTTATAGGGATTTTTATGCATGAAATACAGCTAAAAAGGTATTTAGAAAAACAGGTTTTGTTTTGGGGGTTGGGAACAGATTAATATATTTTATATTGTTTCTTATGGGAAAATTTGTTTTGGTTTTAGAACAACTTTTAGGACAATTCATTCTAACCCAGCTCCTATTTTATATCCTAATATAACCTAAATAAATATAAAAGACACCTTACCACTGGAGTATTTAAATTTCTTTACTAAATGTTTTCCAGCTCTATTTATGAGCCTGCATTAGGTAAATTGTATTTAAATTCAGAAAACATAACATCAAACATTTCTTTACAAATTCAAAATGGAATTAACAAGAATATAGTTATCAAATTTTTTAACAATAAAATCCTAAGCTATAATAATAGTTTATTATTATCATCATCATCTCCAAAAAATTAATACAATAGCTTAACTAATTAATATTTAAGATTGACTGTCCAATATTGTTGTACATATTACAAGGTGTTTTTACTTGTCCCAAGTCTTTTTTTTAATAGCATATCTCTATGCCATTGGAAATTGCTCTATATCCCTGGTGTTAATGCATCCATTTCTAAGTTTGTGTTTAAAAATCTCAACTTTTTTATTTATTTATGGCTATAGAGGGCAAGTGTACTTCATTAATAATTTTAGATTCCTTCCAAAGTATCTTTGTGTTTTCTTTCCCTTTCCTTACATCATATTGTTCTTTAACTCTGGTTTTTAAATTCCTCTTAGTTACGCCAACATATGCTGTTTTTAAGCTCTTCATTAACTATTGGGATCCTGTATACTCCTGCTTTAGTTACTTCTGGGAGTGGATCCTTGTTATTTTGCAGTATACAATATAAATTAGGAGGTTTTTTATATACCAAGTAAGAGTTCTTTTGTTTGGAAACTCCTCCATTATATTCCTGATTTTATTTTGGTATGTGAACCATTTCATTTTTCCATTTTTGTGGTACTGATATTGTTATAATGATTAATCAAACTCATAAACCATCTGTTAGAATATCCCAGTTTCTTAGTTATTCTCCTAATTCTTTTTAATTCTGCCCTCTTGTCCACCATACTTATGTTGTACATGTATGATGGACAATTTTAATTAAAGCAAAAATGCGGATGCTTTATATTATTCTGAATGCGGATGCTTTATATCGTTCTGGATCTTTGATGTGACTGGTATATATAGGAGGCTGAACATGGTTTGATGTACACCTTTGTGCTGATTTGTTCTGATCCTAATGTAATATCAATATCTAGAAAATGCATGTTACTCTTACTTTTTTGTTTAAGTTTTAGCTTCAATCTTTTGTTGTTGTCATTTACTACATCTATAAATCTGGAAATAGTTTTTTCTTCCTTTATAAAATAAATGCATCATCATTATATCTTCTGTACATCAATATGTCCTCTTCAAATTCTGGGATAACTTGGTTTTCTTTATTCCTTACCACTAGCTTGTATAAAAGCCATTGGTACCTCTTTATGTTGTTTAAAAATTTTGTTATTGAAGGAGAAAAATGAAGAGTTGCAGATAAGGTCTGCTATTTCTAGCATATTTTCTGTCTGTCTGATTTTGGAACTTGTTGGTATAAAAAATTGACAAGTGCTTCAAAACACTACTGGAGTTCAATAGATGAGTATAAGCTTTCATAGTCTATGACTATGGTGAGCTCTTCATGCATTAAAAAAATGTTCTGTAGATCCTCAACCACTTCAAAAGAGTTGCTTACACTGAATTGATATTGTGGTAAAAGGTCTTTGATGAAGTTATGTAAAGCTTTTTCTAAAAGATATGTTTGTGCATTCCGTTTTTGGAACATCCACCATCGGTCTGAATAGCTTCTTATCTTCGTCTATTTTTGTAAAGGCAAACAGTCTGGGACTTCTTGGGCATGGTTTACATTTCTTAAGGAACATTTAATGTTTGGCCAATGAGTTTTATAATTTTCTTATTCTATATAATGTTGATGATATGATGCTTTCATTAACTTCTATACATCGGGTNAGTGTAATATCCACTGAAGAGGCTAAAATAGCGAAATATATATGGATAACATAATAAAGTAAGAGATAGTGAAAATAATTCTCTGGTTTTCTCTGTTTTTTTAAACTCTATCGAAGTCGGAATTAAAGAGTGAACGTCACTTGTGGTTCTTAGAAGTTTTTTTAAACGAAAAAATTTTTAGAATTTATTAATTTTAATATTTGTCTACACCGATCCCATTGTTTTATTATTTATTTAATATGTTTGTATATTTGGAGCATTCCTTTTTCCACCTCTGGTCTGAATAGCTTCCCATCCTTGTGTATTTTTGCAAAGGCAAACAGCCTGGGAATTCCTGGGCATGTTGGTTTACATTTCTTAATGAACATTCAATGTTTGGCAAATGAGGAGTTTTATAATTTTCTAATTCTGTATAATATTTTCATTTTTTTAGATCACTTTTTTCTGTACTA